CCAATGGCTGTGTTTTACAGTTTTATAAGTAAATTTTAAGAGATCATAGTGATCCAAGTTGATATTCTCTATTTACAAATAATAAAGTGGTTTGGTGCTAGTTTTCTTCTACAAGTCTCTTTCAAAAAAAAAAAAGAAATCACACAATCAATGATATGCTTCTCTTTTTCTGTTTTGTGTGTTTGAAATAATGAACTGTGGCAAGTAGGAATATTTGATCAGAAGACATTGTTTGTATGTTTACATCTGGAAAGGGAGGAGGGATCAATGGAAATAGCTTTCTAATTCCCAGTATCTGCTCCCCTAATTTTCAATCTGCTGGACTTTGTTGTCTTCCTGAAGCCAAGTGGGAAGGAACCAAGGCAATAATCTGTGTGTTTCATTTATATGTTTCAGGTAATTGGCCAACATTTCTAATAATTGCATATTAAATGATTACCTTTTTGTAACATCCTCTGTTTACTTACAAGAGTCCATTTATCTTAGTAGGCTTCTTTCATAATTTTATCACACTTGTTTCAAGGGTACTATAACCTATGGGTTCTGCACTTAACTAATTATGTCAGATATTGTTATAGTTTGGATGAGAGGTGTCCCCCAAAAGCTCATGTATGAGATAATGCAAGAAGGTTCAGAGGCGAAATGATTGAGTTGTGAGCGTCTTAACCCAATCAGTGAATTAGTCCCCATAGAGATTAACTGAGTGGTAACTGAAGGTAGATAGGGTGTGGCTGGAGCAGGTGGGCACTGAGGGTGTGGCTTTGGATATATATTTTGTATCTGGCAAGTGGAGTCTCTTCGGCTTCCTGACTGTCATGTGAGCCCCTTCCCTCGCCACACCCTTCTGCCATGATGTTCAGCCTAACCTTGAGCCTCAGGAATGGAGCCAGCTGTCTGTGGACTGAAAGACAGAGACCTCCGAAACCTTGAACCTTCAAATAAACTTTTCTTCCCCTAAAATTGTTGTGGTCAGACCTTTTAGTCACAGCCGTGAAAAAGCTGACTAAAACAAATACATTACTATGACCAAATTGAAGAGACTGAGAAACATTTCTCCTGACTCTTGATAAAAATATAAAACCCTTGAAGATTAAAATAAAGTAGAATCTTATACTCAATAGATTTAGAGAAAAAACTTTTTCAGTAATTTAAAAATTATATATGTTAAGTATGCTGAACCTCATAATGTAATAGACATGGGATAAAAAACAACTTTGATTACAACTTGCTGTTAGCAAGGGCTATGGATTTCAGAGGATTTTACCACTTTTTTTTAACATTTTTCCTTTGATAAGGTGATCTCAATGGTACATTCATTATACCCTGAAAAAAGAGGTTCCAATGTTTAATCCTAGGCTACAGTAACATTAGTCACAACAGTGTTGTTTCAAAGTCTAAATAAGTCAGCTAATAGAAAAGGGAGTTTGTTAGTAAGTGTACTTACCTAGAACAGAAATCCCACAGAATTTTGGAGTTGGAAGGGGTGATTATATTACGACTATTTTACTTTAAGCTGAGGAAACAGAGAAGTAAATGCTAGCGGTTACAAAGGTGAACGTGTGTGTGTGTGTGTGTGTGTGTCTGTGTGTATATCTCTGTATGTGTGTGTGTGTGCATGCCTGCGCATGCAAGCACGTGGTCTGGCAACCACCTGTGATCTCTCTCTACAGAAAGTCTTGCAATTTGGGTTTTAAAAAACAGGAAAGTTTTCTCAGAAGTGAACATTTTTAGATGTTAAAATGATATACAAAGAACGTGTATGTTTTACACGGAGAAAACTGAATTACTGTAGAGATCTGTCATTCTTAAAGTTCATGGATTTTTTTTTTAATACATAAGCTTTAAAGCTTAGGCAAAAAAATTAGCTTATTTCTTGCTTTTACATTAATGATTTCATTTATTCAGTAAATCTTTATTAAATGACTAATGAATCAAATGATAATTTAGATCTTTGGTTTGATAACATCAGCCAGACCCAATTCTTGGCCTTTAGAATATTTCAGACTCAAATGATGTATGTTTATCATTGATGCTACAGGAAAAGTAACATCTAGAGACATTTGTCCAATAATTAAGGCTTGATAATCATAAAGTGGTAAAGTTATTCATATTTCTTTTTCTTTCAGGTCAAACACTATTCAAAGTAGTAGTCAAATCTCTTTCACCTAAAGAGTTAGTTCGAATCCATGTCCCTAAACCTTTGGACAGGAATGATGGAACATTTTTGGTGAGATATAGGATGTATGAAACTGTCAATGAAGGGTTGAAGATAGAGATCCTGTATGGTAATGAACATGTGGCTCAGTCTCCTTATATTTTAAAAGGTAAGTGGTTATTAATAATCCAGAGCTAGCCTTAGTATGCGTTCCATGCTTTTCCAAATGAGTTATAATGACCTTAAAGTCATGTTCAACAAAATCAATATTTTATATATATTAAAAATCAATATTTTTACATATATAAATGTGTGTACACACACATTCACACACACTCCCTAGAGCTCTATTTAACTTGAAATTTTAAGGGAATGCAAATTAAGTAATTTATATTTAAACTATAAGAAAAAAAAGTTGTGTATTTATCCATGTAGTTATCATACTCTTTATTCCTTTTTGTAAATCCATATTTCTATCTGGTACCACATTCTATCTGGTACCACTTGCCTTCTGTTTAAACAACTTCCATTAAGATTTTTCTTAGAATGAAAATACTGGTGATAAATTCTTCCAGCTTTTACATTACTGAAAAAGTCTTTATTTTGCCTTCTTTTTTTGGGGGGGGGGTTGTAAAAGAAATAAATTCTAAGAATATTCAGTTGAATAGTTATAAAATTTTCCAAAGATTCCATTTCTTTTTCTTTTTTTCTTTTTCTTATACCCTTGGTGAGAACAGAATCTTCTGAGTCTTTCTTGAGGGAAAAGTTAGTGAGTGACTGAGCAGGTCCAAAGTAATTGTACTCAAAGGTCCTTATCACCTGAGCTTCTTCTCTTCTTCATGAGGACATCTCATCCACCTTGAAGTTCAGGCTTAAATTGGTTAACTTAGGTATCTATTAATGAAACTCTCAAAAGTTTAAGTCAGGAATCCTAGTTGATTCTTTTTTTTTTGGTAGTTGTAGATGGACAGGATGCCTTTATTTTAGTTGTTTATTTTTATGTGGTGTTAAGGATCAAGCCCAGTGTCTCATACATGCTAAGCAAGCACTCTACCACTGAGCTTCAGCCTCAGTCCTAGTTGACTCTTTTTGTGTCAATAAATTGTATATAAAGATGCTTTAAGTTTTTATAAAACTTTTAATAAAGTCATAGCTCCCCCATTTTTGGTCTAAAGTCCCTTCACTCCTATAATCCATTCATTAATCCTCCTCAGACTCCTGTCAGAACAGAGCTGATAAATATTTTCATGCCCTAGAGGAAGTCTTTTATTTCAAGTAGTAATCAATTTCTTCTTATGAGTCTACAGAAAATAAATACTGGTAGTGGTGGGTCCTTAGGAGAATTAGCATTCCTTATGGGGCAGTGTACTCAGGTGTTTCTCCCTGCTGCCATATTTTTGTTATTGGTGCATTATTATTATATATAGTGGTGGAATTTTTTTTGTTATTTCTTCATACAGGAACACAACCTAACAATATCATTTGGTCAGTATCATTCCCCAGTTTTTATCCTTTCCCTTCTCTCTTAATGGACAATTTAAAAGTATAGACTAATAAGTATATTTTATCTTTTCAATAAAATATATGAATATTAAATGCCTGTAGACTGTGGTGATTAAATGAAAGTTCCAAAGGAGTGGTCTATATCTTTGCAGGCTTTGAATAAAGCATATATGGTAGACAACAAAAGAAAATTTTCTCAGCTTCTCACTGCCATTACCTTCATTAAAAAAAAAAAAAAGTTTTTGCTTAGCTATAGAAGTGCAAATTAATGGATTTTTTTTCCCTTTTAGTACTCTAAATTTGCTTCTCCACTGTCTCCTCACCATTATCTTTATCTCTCTGGATCGCTTTTTTAAGGCTTTTTTCTTTACCAGTTTTTGTTATTTGTTTTTGTTTTTAGTGCTGGGGATCAAACCTAAGGCCTCACAAAAGCCAGCCAAGTGCTCTACCACTGGGCCACATCCCTAGCCTCTCTTTATTAGTTGTTTTGAGTAGTTGGTTGTTATATTTTTTGGTGTAGTTTTCTTTCCAAAGAAAGAAATGCATGTGGTAGAGATCGGGGGTACACACCCTTGTGATTTATAGAGCCTCTAATATCTTTGGTTTATAATTTTCAACAAATTTAGAAAAATTTTGACCATTATTTCATCAAACATTTTTTTCCATTCCTTCAAGGGATTCTAATTACCCGTATTTTCAGCATTTTGAAAATTCTCTTTTTCTCACCATTTCATTTTATTTAGTTTCCATTTCTCTGTCTTTAAATCCACTAATCTTTTTTTCCGATAATGCCTTTTTGTCATTAATCCCATAAAGTACATTTTTCATCTGTTGATTTTTGTTTTTTAATCTTCTTGAGGTTTTTTTTTTGGTGGGGGGAGGGATGCATCTGAATTACTTAGAAATTAGTTTCATCCTTTCAAGTTATATTTTTACAATTTGTTAGATCAAATTAGAGCCAATTTAATCCAGGGCTAATTATTCCTCACTACTGAGGCATATCTTTTACATATTCTTCCCAAACCCCAGGAATTAGGATGCTTTCCAGCCTGGCTGATATGAACAGGCCCTATTGCCAAGCCTGTGTTCTAGTCACTTTGGATGGTTCTTCCTCTGCCTCACACATGCTCTGCTAAATACTCAAGAGGGGAACTACTTCACTTTCTGGAGTTCTCTGTGCAGTTTTCTCCTTTCAGATAACTCTGAATCCTGGCTGGTTTCCTGGACTCTCAGCCTTGTCTCCTCAATGCAGTGACACTTCTGGGCTTTCTCCACCTCCCTATCCCTATGCTGCCACCTGGAAACTTTCTTAAGTAGTAAACATAGGGACTTTGAAACTCACCTTATGTGTTTCCCACCTCTCAGACTCACTGTCCTTCATTGCCGGATATCTAGTTTCTTAGAAACTTGTTTTAGATATTTTATCAGAGTCTTTTTCAGTGATTTCAGGTGGAGGAGTAAATTCCTGTTATTTATCTTGGTCCAAAGTAGAAATCCTAAAGAAAATTTAATAATTTTTATATTAAAATAAATATAGATATATCTTAATATATTTATATAATTTGTTTTAAAAACAAGTCTTCAGAGAAGTTCTATGCTTATAGCTGACCACTTAAAAATACACTTGCCAGACCCCTCTGGGTTACACATTTCCTCTTTGAGATGAGCAAATGGAGACGATTTAGGGACTCAGAGAACTAGATCCTCAGCTTTGTCTTTAAAAAATCACTATCCCTACTACATTTTAATGCCTGAAAATTAATATGCTTTCTTCCTTGTTAAAAGGTAAGTTGGTTTATGTTCATCAGCCCCTTCCCCCTCACTACAAATGAATTTATCATCTAGTTGACTGAGAGTAGATTAGACTGGGAGAAAGCATATGCTATGCTTTGCTATGTTCAGGTGATTCAAAAAGGAGACAGAAAGTAGGGGTGTGAGACTGACACAACAACTTGCACCACTGATGTGTCTAGAGCAGTTTTTCTGTATCCGGATCATCTTAGAATTCACCAAGAAGTCATCAACAACTCCCTGCATCATGGCACTTGCTAATGGAACATGGTGTTGTATATGTTTTGCTCTCCCTAGGACCAGTGTACCATGAATACTGTGAGTGTCCAGAACAAGATCCTCAGGCCTGGCAGAGAACTCTTTCTTGTCCAACCCAGGAACCACAGATTGAAGAAGATTTTGCTTCCTTCCCCAGCATCAATCTCCAGCAAATGCTAAAGGAAGTTCCCAAAAGATTTGGGGATGAGAGGGGCGCTGTGGTACATTACACGATTCTCAATAATCGTATTTACCGGAGATCTTTAGGGAAATACACAGACTTCAAAATGTTCTCTGATGAAATTTTGCTGTCACTGGCAAGAAAGGTATATCATTGCTCTTTTTCTTTTATCAGATGAATTTACTTTAAAAAGTAGTGTAGTTTAATGATTTTTTTGCAACATTTAAATGCTTAGAATTATAATAGCAAGCTCAGAAATGTGTCATCCAAGTGTTCATAGTGACCTGAGAATATCTCTCTTTCCTATAAGATTTAAATTAGGTAGCTTGAGCCCCCATCCTAAGTAGGTAGGCCAAAAAAGGCACTCGAAGGTTTCTGTGAACTCCCAGATGTTTACAGCCTCTGGGTGACTAAGTTCTCTCTTATGCCAAATCCTTTTTCCACTCAGATTTCACCATCTGCAGCTATTTTTGTCCCCTCCAGATGAATTTGAACTTAAACATATTTTCCTTTTTTTACCCTAAGTACCTTTAAAAGATCATGCACATGACTCGTTTTGATGAAGGCTCAGGGGAACAGAGGCTGTTTTACACCCATGCATACTAAAAAACAGACAAAAACCTGACACCAATCAAACTCGGTCATCCTTGCCTCTGGGAACTTTTCACTGACCATCCTTGATTTTAGTCTCTTTCTAAATGTGGTTGAGCCCCCTGTCCACATCCACCAACAACCATCTCTTATCCTACTTACTTATTTGACCTCTCTTTCCACATTTTCAGGACCCTAACTTCCTTTTAAACAGAACAGTTCAAACCACTTTTGTTCTTGTGCCTGATCATGCAGAGTTTTTTGGAGGATGGAGGTAGGAAATTTTTATCTTTCTGGCCCAGAGAAATCACCTAGGTAGTTTTGTAAACCAAAAGCCAACCATCTCGATATGTACAGTTTTCCAAGCATGCTGAATGTGTGAAGGCAATCAGTTCTTATTTTAAACAGCAGTGTCTTTCCCCTTTCTCTCGGCCCACCTGTGAGCATATGAGCACATTATGAGCATCTGACCCTAGGGTAGTACTCTCTGCCTGTCCAACCTGCCTGATTTCCTGTATCTTATACTGGTGTTGCTGTCTCTGCAGCAATAATGTTCAACTGGGAATGATTCTGCTCCCCATGGGACATTGGGCAATAAGTGGAGACATATTTGGTGATCTTACCTTGGGGTTGCTACTAGCATCCAGAGGATAGAGTGGGGTTTGCTAGCCGTATCTAATAGGTAAATATCCTACAATGAACAGGACAGCCCCCCACAGAAAAGAATTATCCAGCACAAAATATCAATAGTGCAAGATTGAGAAACCTCACTCCATAATAAGAATTTCTGATGTGAATATTATTGATGAATTTTTAATTAATAACAGAGAAGCAAGAGCATGTACGTTTGCATTCCTTATCTTTCCTTTTATTCCTGATTGTTGCCTACTGGCTGGGAAGAAATCTGAAAAAAAAAAAAAAAAAAGCGAGACTCAGTGCTAGTCTTCAAGTGGCACACTCTTGTGGGACTTGTTTGTATTCTTTGGAACTAGGAGTGCGATATGAGTACAAACAGATAAATATACCACAACATGACAGATACTGAGGGTTCCAGTGCCCAAGGAGGGTGAGTCATAGAAGAGGAAATGTTAGATCTGGGTTTGAGGGACAAGAAAGGAGACTACCAAGTTGAAAAAGTGGGAGAGGGGCTGGGGATGTGGCTCAAGCGGTAGCGTGCGGCCTGGGTTCGATCCTCAGCACCACATACCAACAAAGATGTTGTGTCCACCGAGAATTAAAAGATAAATATTAAAAAAAAAAAAAGAAAAAAAAGAAAAAGTGGGAGAATATTCCAAGTGAAATGAATTACATATTAAAGTGGATGGCATTTTCAGAAAGTAGCCCAGAGTTTACCAGTACATGGGGATGGAAGACAAGGCTTAAAGCTAAGCTGGAACAAGGTAGGTGATATGTTGAATGCAAGTCAGGCAGTTTAGACCTCATCCTGTAGGCTTAAGATTCTTTAATCTTGGTAGTTACATTAATTTGTGTTTTAAAGATTTCATTGACCTTGATTCTGGCCACGTGGAGACTAGATTAGAGTGAGAACACCTAACAAGGAAGATATTGCAGCATTCTAGGCAGGACGTGACAAGGGCCTCAACTAAGGCATTGACTACGGAGACAGAAATGGGGCAGCTGACTCCAGAGACATAGTAGGTGTGGTAAAGAGGGTAATAGTGGAGGAAAACAAGGGTTCAGGTCTAACATCGTGGATTCTTTCTGGGGCAGCTGGCAGAGAAGGATCTCAAGGATTTCATACTTTTCTATACTAAAATATAAAATATACTAATATATAAAATAATACTAAAATATAAAATCCACCTCTGGATAGTGGTAGCTGACTTCTGGCTAAGAGAATTTGCCATATACTGTCCTCACCCAAAATTTAATGATACAACCTACAACCAAGAAGCATTCTTCTCTCTTCTACTATTTTTGAATGGTTAAGCTCTATCAGAAATTTTTAAGAAAGCCAAGGAACTATATAGTATTTAGTATCAAAGACTGGAGTCTCACAAGCACTAATGTTTGTACTTTTGTTTACTTAGGTCCTTCTCCCAGATTTAGAATTTTACATTAATCTTGGAGATTGGCCCCTGGAGCATCGAAAAGCCAGTGACATCCCTGGCCCTATACCTATCATTTCCTGGTGTGGCTCTCTGGATACAAGAGATGTTATCCTTCCAACCTATGACATCACCCACTCCACGCTTGAAGCAATGAGGGGTGTTACCAATGATCTCCTCTCTATTCAGGGAAATACAGGTAAACTAAGGCTGATTCTAAAGAGTGAAAATGTGAAGGTAATGTTTAGTCAGAGAAAGTAAATTATATCTTTAAATAACCATTCTTATTTTCTTACCAAGAAAAAAGAACAGCACCTTTGGGGCTAGGATGTAGAATACTTGCCTAACAGGTGTGAGACTCTGGTTTCTATCCCCAATGCCACAGAAAAACACCACCAACTACAAAAAGGCATTCTAAGCACTGAAGTGGTTTGTTTAGGATTCTTCTAATCCTAAAATTAAAGAAATATGGTTTGGGCTAGTAATGCCCAAATCTACCTTCACTAAGTCTCCTTTGAGTTTAATCTTTTGTGTATATACATTTGGGAAAGTCATCACTTAATTCTGAGTCCAAGGCCTTTATATTTCTGGATGAAATGAGAGATAATTTTGAAATATATGTTACACAAATATAAGAGAACTGTGATAATAGTATAGTTGAGATATTACATTCTCCAACACTTGGTAAGGAATTCTTTCCTCTCCTTTTTCTGTCTCTTCATCCTTTAACATCTGAATTCCTTTTCTCCTATTTAGTGGGCTTGAATTTATTATGCAACATAACTTTTTTTTAAACCAAATTCACCAAAATTAGAAAAAAAC